GGGCGAAAAGAATCTCAGGAGCTGCTTGTGTTTCGATCTAAATAAAGGCTTAAAGAATCTCAGAGGCTCCTACTGTTTTGATTTTAAAAGAGGCTGAAAGAATCTCAGGGGCTCTTAATGTTTTGATTTTAAAAGAAGCTGAAAGAATCTCAGGGGCTCCTAGTGTTTTGATTTTAGAAGAGGCTTAAAGAATCTCAGGAGCTCCTAGTGTTTCGATTTTAGAAGAGCTTGAAAGGATCTCCGGGGCTCCTAATGTTTTGATTTTAGAAGAGGCTGAAAGGATCTCCGGGGCTCCTAATATTTTGAGTTTAGAAGAGGCTTAAAGAATCTCAGGAGCTTTTAGTGTTTCGATTTTAGAAGAGGGTGAAAGGATCTCCGGGGCTCCTAATGTTTTGATTTTAGAAGAGGCTTAAAGAATCTCAGAGGCTCCTAGTGTTTTGATTTTAAAAGGGCTTTAAAAATCCCAGGGGCTTCTTGTGTTTCGATTTAAACAGAGATTTAAAGAATATCAGGGGCTCCTAGTATTTTGATTTTAAAAGAGGCTAAAAGAATCTCAGGGGCTCCTTGTGTTTCAATTTTAAAAGAGGCTAAAAGAATTTCAGGGGCTCCTAATATTTCGACTTTAAAATAGGCTGAAAGAATCTCAGGGGCTCCTAGCGTTTTGATTTTAAAAAGGCTTTAAGAATTTCAGGGGTTCCTTGTGTTTTGATTTTAAAGGAGGCTGAAAGAATCTCAAGGGCTCCTTGTGTTTCGATTTAAATAGAGGCAGAAAGAATCTCAGGGGCTCCCAGTGTTTTGATTTTAGAAGAGGCTGAAAGGATCTCAGGGGCTCCTAACGTTTTGATTTTAGAATAAGCTTAAAAGGTCTCAGGGGCTCCTTGTGCTTTGATTTTAAAAGAGGCTGAAAGAATTTCAGGGGCTCATAGTGTTTTGATTTTAGAAAAGGCTTAAAGAATCTCAGGGGCTCCTATTATTTTGATTTTAAAAGAGGTTAAAAGAATCCCAGGGGCTCCAAATATTTCGACTTTAAAAGAGGCTGAAAGAATCTCAGGGGCTCCTAGCGTTTTGATTTTAAAAAGGCTTTAAGAATCTCAGGGGATCCTAGTGTTTTTATTTTAAAAGAGGCTGAAAAAGTCTCAGGGGCTCCTAGCGTTTTGATTTTAAAAAGGCTTTAAGAATCTCAGGGTCTCCTTGTATTTTAATTTTAAAGGAGGCTGAAAGAATCTCAAGGGCTCCTTGTGTTTCGATTTAAACAGAGACAGAAAGAATCTCAGGGGCTCCCAGTGTTTTGATTTTAAAAGAGCCTGAAAGAATTTCAAGGGTTCCTAGTGTTTTGATTTTCAAAGAGGCTGAAAGAATCTCAGGGGCTCCTAGTGTTTTAATTTTCAAAGAGGCTGAAAGAATCTTAGGAGCTCTTAGCGTTTTGATTTTAAAAATGCTTTAAGAATCTCAGGGGCTCCTTGTGTTTCGATTTCAACAGAGAGTTAAAGAATCTCAGGGGCTCCTTGTGTTTTGATTTTAAAAGAGGCTGAAAGAATCTCAAGGGCTCCTTGTGTTTCGATTTAAACAGAGGCTTACAAAATCTCAGAGGCTGCTAGTGTTTTGATTTTAAAAGAACCTGAAAGAATCTCAGGGGCTCCTAGCGTTTTGATTTTAAAAAGGCTTTAAGAATTTCAGGCGCTCCTTGTGTTTTGATTTTAAAGGAGGCTGAAAGAATCTCAAGGGCTCCTTGTGTTTGGATTTAAACAGAGGCAGAAAGAATCTCAGGGGCTCCCAGTGTTGTGATTTTAGAAGAGGCTGAAAGGATCTCAGGGGCTCCTAACGTTTTGATTTTAGAAGAGGCTTAAAGGGTCTCAGGGGCTCCTTGTGCTTTGATTTTAAAAGAGGCTGAAAGAATTTCAGGGGCTCATAGTGTTTTGATTTTAGAAAAGGCTTAAAGAATCTCAGGGGCTCCTAGTATTTTGCTTTTAAAAGAGGTTAAAAGAATCCCAGGGGCTCCAAATATTTCGAATTTAAAAGAGGCTGAAAGAATCTCAGGGGCTCCTAGCGTTTTGATTTTAAAAAGGCTTTAAGAATCTCAGGGGATTCTAGTGTTTTTATTTTAAAAGAGGCTGAAAAAGTCTCAGGGGCTCCTAGCGTTTTGATTTTAAAAAGGCTTTAAGAATCTCAGGGTCTCCTTGTATTTTAATTTTAAAGGAGGCTGAAAGAATCTCAAGGGCTCCTTGTGTTTCGATTTAAACAGAGACAGAAAGAATCTCAGGGGCTCCCAGTGTTTTGATTTTAAAAGAGCCTGAAAGAATCTCAAGGGTTCCTAGTGTTTTGATTTTAGAAGAGGCTTAAAGGGTCTCAGGGGCTCCTTGTGCTTTGATTTTAAAAGAGGCTGAAAGAATTTCAGGGGCTCATAGTGTTTCGATTTTAGAAAAGGCTTAAAGAATCTCAGGGGCTCCTAGTATTTTGATTTTAAAAGAGGTTAAAAGAATCCCAGGGACTCCAAATATTTCGACTTTAAAAGAGGCTGAAAGAATCTCAGGAGCTCCTAGTGTTTTGATTTTAGAAGAGGCTGAAAGGATCTCAGGGGCTCCTAATGTTTTGATTTTAGAAGAGGCTGAAAGGATCTCAGGGGCTCCTAATGTTTTGATTTTAGAAGAGGCTTAAAGAATCTCAGGGGCTCCTAGTGTTTTGATTTTAGAAAAGGCTTAAAGAATCTCAGGGGCTCCTAGTATTTTGATTTTAAAAGAGGCTAAAAGAATCTCAGGGGCTCCAAATATTTCGACTTTAGAAGAGGGTGAAAGAATCTCATGGGCTTCTAGAGTTTTGATTTTAAAAAGGCTTTAAGAATCTCAGGGGATCCTAGTGTTTTAATTTTCAAAGAGGCTGAAAGAATCTCATTGGCTCTTAGCGTTTTGATTTTAAAAAGGCTTTAAGAATCTCAGGGGCTCCTTGTGTTTCGATTTCAACAGAGAGTTAAAGAATCTCAGGGGCTCCTTGTGTTTTGATTTTAAAGGAGGCTGAAAGAATCTCAAGGACTCCTTGTGTTTCGATTTAAACAGAGGCTTAAAAAATCTCAGAGGCTCCTAGTGTTTTGATTTTAAAAGAACCTGAAAGAATCTCAGGGGCTCCTAGCGTTTTGATTTTAAAAGAGGCTGAGAAATGTCGAGAGCTCCCAGTCGTTTGATTTTAAAAACAACTAAAAGAATCTCGGGGGATTTCTAGTGGTTTATTTTTAAAAAAACCTAAAATAATCTTATTGGTATTTTGATTTTAAAACGATTTATTTTTAGAAATAGTCCGAAACAACCTCGGGAGCTCTTATTAATTACATTTTAGAAACGATCACCTTGTATTACGTTTCCGAAACAATGTTGGTGCCAAATTTTTAATTTATAATTCCAACAAGATAAAATTTTTGACGCGATATCATTAAATTTTTGGAGCGATCAGTCAAATCAGTCCAGTTAAGACGACACAAAAACGGAAACAGGAGACCTACTTTTTCATTTTCCACGAACCATGAAACTCTCAACACGCAAAAACAAATTACTATCGATAATAATAATAATAACGGTGACGACAGTCTGCTCCCGCCGCCCCCCGGCCCGTCCGTTTATTGAATCGCTTTAATTAAATGGCAGATCGGATCTTGTCTGCCTTAGTTCATGTGAAATTACGTTGGCATTGTGTGAGAGTGGCTTCCAGGTGGGTATCTATGCGATTCGCTCACTCTTCACTGCTCTTCCATAAGAGCCAAATAAGAAGACCGAGTTCCCATGGTTTAGATTGCAGGTCTCACAGTGGCACAGATGAGTCGTGGACGGATGCAAGCCGGAGGGGCGAAATTGACAATTTTATGCTTGAGGAGCTGGTTTACGAGATTACGTAGTGTGACGTCACTGATTTGCTTTTTAACGATTTGTGGAGGTGTGCAAATGCGGGCTGGAGCTAAGCAGATGGAACGAGATGTGATGAATGTGTAAAGATGCAGGGGAGAGTTTTAAAATAATTTATGGAGTTGTGAATCTTGCTTAAAATCGAAAATGTTTGCTTGCAGTGGAAAGGTGGTGTTTTTCTTGTAATGAACACCGGCTGGGGTTAAGACGCACAACGTTTGTAGAAAACTCGGCACCGATTCAATTTTTGATTTTTTTTTTTTCATCTTGAACAATCAAATAAAAATGTGATTAAAACATTCCCATTTAATCAGCACCCGCTCGCAAATAAACAAACTCCCCCAAAAATCCCCCACACCGGCCATCAATTAAACACACAACCCGCCGCCCCACATCAAACACCTCCTTTTCCTCAACCGCCGCCCCCACTCGTGTTGACCGAATCGCGCCGATAAAACAAAAAATCCACCTCTTCGCGAAAAACACGACACGCGAAGATAAAACAACAAACAAAAAGCCGATCGCTGGATCAACATTTTACACTCTGGCGCTGACAAATTAATTTTTCGGAATTCGCCGTAAAAACTGGCCGAAAAGCAATTTTCAAAATATTTACATTTAATTCGTCCTAAATCGGCCCGTAGGCTGCGAGTGGAGCTTTTATTGGCAGGAAAACGCTCAAGTTCCGAAACTTTATCATAAAGTTTTTATGCGTCTGTAGCAATTAAAAGCATCTGAGAGGGGCGATAAAAATTTTAGCGGGGAAATTGGGTTTAGTGCGCTGGGCTGTGCGGGGACGGCGATTGACTCGGCGGCGGGAGGCACTTATGCAAAGTCGCACTTACCTTTGCGGTGGGCGGATCCGGCTCGCAGGAGCACCGGCCAAAAAGCTGCTCGCTAGTTAGGGCTTATTTGTGTCGAGGGACTTGTTTAATACTTACTGCAGTTGCGGTCGCTTGCTTGCTTTCAGTTGTTTTTTTTATATATATACAGGTGGATCCGGCTCGAAGGAGCACATTTTACATTAACTTATTTCTGTTTTTTTTTTTTGAAGGTGATATACAGGGTGCGAATGGAAAGTCTGTAGTAATGATTTATATTTATTTGTGTCAATGGTAAAGTAACATAATAACATTTATTTAAAAACTAATAGCTAACAGCTGTAACGTATCAGGAAAATATACAATAGCAACCTATCGAACGTAACTACTACATACAATCAGTCTTAACAAATAATACGCTGTATAACTGCATACCCGACTATATGCGAAGTTGCGCCAAATATCCGGTTAAATTAACATCACATTCACATAACAGAAACAATCGACCTACATCTTTTTGGTAACTGTCCCTAACTGAAACTGGCGCGTGAATGAGAAAAAACAAATTGCACTAATAAGTAATAACATAACATGCCTCAGCAAAATGTTGTCATATTTGTTAAATGAAAAAATATAGCAAGATTTTGCTTTATAAAATTTGGCACGAGTTCGTTCAATACACTTCCCTTTCGGGGGGGTGCAACTAAACGGTAATTGGCACACAAATTCATCAGCTTTAACTGAGGTAGATTCGTCTTGGAAAAAATATAATATTACCTAACAACGTAAATATGTACACAACGACTCACAACTCTTATTACATCTTAAAAAACAAATATCAAAACTTGCGTTGTAACATTATTGCATATTATTACTTCGAATTTTCTATGAACGGCCGAGGGTGCGGCTTCCGGACGCGACCCTCCAGAAACCCCACCCCTCAGCCACGATAATCTGTTCTTATTATACATCTTTAATAAACTTGATCCTAAAGTTTGTACATCCACGAGATATCAATATCAATATAATCTGATATAAATATATCTATTTTAACTGAGATTCTGAGGTATTGCTGTTTTGAGTATTGTATCGTCGGACTCGAAAAAAATACTTGAGCAATTACTCTGTTTTGTTACTCTGATCGATTGAGATACTCTCAAATAATATCAAAAATAATATTTACAAGATGGAACGTCATTCAAAATAGTTACAACATTTAAGTAGGAATGTGCCAAGTGATGACAAAAATAAAAAATTGCTACATACACATCTAGTGCAGTCGATCTTTGGAGTTCAGAAACGCGCACACACGTACTATTTACCCAGCTTCGACTGATTCGTCTTCCTAAAGTGCGTCTCGCAATGCTTCAACATATGGTCCTTCCGAATAAAACCCTTGCCGCACGTGTGGCACTGGAACGGCTTCTTACCCGTATGCAGGCACATGTGCCGGCGCAAATCCGTCTTGTGGTTAAACTGCTTCGGACACCTGCAAAAACACCACTCTCAATCTCCGAAATCGCCAAAATCCACACCGCGATCCCCCAAAACGCGAACCCGGGTAGTTGTCGCGCCGAAAAAACCCAACCCATCGACTAGTCAGACAATTTTAGCGCGAAAAGATGTGTCACACCCCACCAAAATCTGCAACCAAATTTCCCGAAATTCGCCAAAATCCCCCAAAACTCGAACCCTAATAGTTGTCGCGGCAAACAAACACCACCACGCGACTAGTCGGTCAATTTCAGCGTGAAACGATGGGTCACACCCCACCAAAATCTACAACCAAATTTCCCGAAATTCGTCAAAATCCCCCAAAACTCGGACCTGAATAGTTGTCGCGACGAAAAACCCACACCAATCGACTTGCGGGTCAATTTTACCCCGAAAAATATATCCTACTTCCACGAATTTTCGTCGTCAAAATTCACCAAAACTCGACCCCGCGCTGCCAATTGACGATTTTAGTGCGGAAGTGCGTCCCCTGCTCCAGTTTCGCGCCCCCCGCGGTCCGCCGAAAATTGCGAACCGGTTATTCTTACCTCTCGCACTTGTGCGGCTTCTCCCCTGCGTGCTTCGACGCGTGCTGCTCGTGTGCCGCGCGACTCGAGAACCGCTTCCCGCACCGTCCGCACTTGTACGGCTTGTCCCCGCAGTGGAAGGTCTTGTTGTGCTGCGTCAGATAGCAGGCCTTGTTGAAGCCCTTGTCGCAGTCGATGCACCTGTACATGCCCGGCCGGTTGATCGAGTTGGCCGTGGTGGACGAAATCTGCGGACTGCCGATGTTCTCTTCGTAGTCCCGCTTCGTGTGCGCCTTCTCCGGCGAGGTCGGCGAAGGCAGTGCCAGCGGGTCGGTTTCGTAGGTGAAGAGCTCCTCCTGGAGCGGGGCCGGGTCGGCCACCGTCAGCACCGTCAGCCGGTATTCGTCCTCCTCCGTCTTGTACATCAGCGTGCGCGCTTCCGTCGTCTCGAAAGGGTCGGGGTAGTAGCAGTAAGGGGCCGTTGCCGGACCCCCGCCCCCCACGTTCGCTGTGTTGCCGTAGCCCATCAGCAGACCGTACCTGAAGAGATTCGAATGCCAAATGCTGATTTTGCACGTGTCAAAGGCTGCCTCAAGTACGCTACAGTAGTCGTCGCCCGAAATTTTTATCGAAAACCAAATTTTTCCTCCAAATAATATCACTTCGAGTTGAAAATTGAACCCCCATACCCACCAGAACTACTTTTCCCCGTCTAAACCTACACGTACTTCGGTGTAAATATATTTGAGTGAAAAAAAAAATGTGTTAACGTAAATTTAACGAATTAATTTTCAAAATTCGTCAAAAATTTAAGCAAACTCGATCCAGGAGTGTTGTCGCAACAAAACACCGGCACCAAAAGATTAGTCAGACAATTTCAGCGTGAAAAGATGTGTCACACTCTGGCGAAATTCTGGAATTATTTTTTCCAAAAACCGTCAAAATTCGTGATAAAATAACCGTACTTGTGCGAATAGAACAATTTATTTTTCAGAAAGTCGTATCAATTATTTTGACAATATTGTAAAAAAAATATTGTTTCTAAATCGGTAAAATTTTGGGTCTGAAAAGTTGTAATTAAAAACCATTACCAAAAACTGCATAAATTTGAGCAACCTAGGGTATATTTTTTCCCAAAAAACCTACACCTACTGATTAGTGTGATAATTTCAATACGGAAAACTCAGTCACATTCCGAAATTCGAATTGATAATTTTTCGAAAATTCATCAGAACTTGGTAAATTTTGAACCTAAAGAGTTGTCGCGATTAAAAATCGCCACTAATTGATTAGTCTCACAATTTAACTTTGAGCAAATTGGACGTTCCTTTTTCCAAAAATTCGTCAAAATTGGACAAAACCTGACTCTGGCGTGTTGTTGCGACTGAAAACCATCACCAACCGGTTAGTGTGATAATTCTGTTAAGAAAAAATAAATCACGTGTCCACACTTGAGCAGTTGATTTTTCCGAAACTGGTCAAAATTCGAGACAACTCGATTCTAGTTTGTGTCGCGATCAAAAACAACCATTAATGGATTGGTGTGGTAAGTTCAATACGGAAAAATCAGTCACACTTCCAAATGTGGGGAGTTTATTTTCCCGAAATTCGTCAAAATCCGGCAAAATTTGAACCCGGAGGGTTGTCGCGACCGAAAACCACTACTAATTGTCTAATTTGACGGTTTTATTGTGAAAAAGTGCATTTAATTCGAGAAAACTGCAGATCTCTCTTTTCCAAAATTCGCCAAAATTGGATAAAAATTGACTTTGACGTGTTGTCGCGACCGAAAAGCACCACCCACCGATTAGTGTGATAAATCCAGTAAAGAAAAATAAATCACAGTTCCATTTTTGGGAAGTCGATTTTTCCGAAATTCGTCAAAATTTGATAAAACGCGATTTTGGTTTGTTGTCGCATTAAAAAACTATCACTAATGGATTTGTGTGATTATTTGAGTACGGAAAAATCAATCATCCTTCCAAAATTGGACGGTTTATTTTTCGAAAATTAGTCAAAATTCGGTAAAACTAGCTTTTGAAGTGTTGTCGTGTCCAAAAAAAAAAAACTCATACATATTTACACGTACTCGTCGTTTTGTTGTATGGTAGCGTAAAAAATGAGTTAAGGCTCAAGTATACATCTTGCGTTGGCAGCGAAAAAGTAACCGGTTTTTCGAAAAATGTTCGCGTTCGTCCGCGATCTTGTTCGTTATCGAAAGAAATGGGTTAAGTTTAACCGAACCGAAAATGAGTTCCCGTGACGTCATCCCGGCTTCCGGCCGGAATATTTCGGCTCCGAGCCGCGATCCTTCTACTGTAAGCCTACTCTCCGCCCTCCACCTCAATTTACCTGTGAAACTGCGCAAAACTCGGCAACGGCTGCGTCTCCTGCTGGACCACGGCTTCCTGGTGACTAAAGTCCTCACCAGTAATACTGAGGCTGCTGGTATCCGTAACCTGCGTAACGTGGGGGGCCGACCCGTTTGGGTACATCTGGAACTGTGGGTTGGGCTCGATGGGCATATGCCCCATGTTGAAGCCATGATGCGTGGGCAGCAGGCCCCTCGAGTCTAGGCTGGTGGCGGGTGAGGGGCCTGCCTCCCCGTTTGGGGGACTCACGATGGGCGGCCCCATCATGGGCATGCTGTTCGTGTCCTCCTCGTTCGAGCTCGCCGGCTCCTCCTTGGTGGCCACCGGGTCCCGCGCCGGGTGGTGGTGCGCGCTGATGGGCATGGAGGCGGGGTCCGGCTGGCCGCTGGACTTGACCGCGTTCTTGTGCAGCGTGGTGTTGTAGTGCCGCTTCAGGTGGCCCGAGCTGGTGAACCACTTGTTGCACGCCGTGCAGTTGTAGGTCTTGGGGCGGCGCGCCTCGTTGGACTTCCAGTTGGCGCTCTTGGTGGTGGGCGCGGGCGCGGACGCCTGCGGCGGCGTGTTGGAGATCGGCGGCGGCGCGGGCTCGAAAGCGCGGTACACGGGCTCCTGCGTGGTCGTGGTGACGTTGTTGATGAAGTCCTGGTTGTGCATGTAGAGCTTCTGCTCCTGGGGGGGCGCGGACACGTACTGCTGCTGCTGCTGCTGGTACATCTTCTGGGGGGGCGACCAGGTGTTGAGCAGCGCGGACACCGAGTGGGGCGTTGGGGGTAGCTCGCCGTTCTGGCGCTTCTCCTCCTCGGGGTACACCTGGTGCACTTTATGCGAGTCCAGATCGAGGATTTCGCTTTGGGCGTCCTCTTCCGTCTTGACCACGGGCTGGTCGTTGTTGAAGAGGAAGTGGTTGTGGTGGTACGTGGAGGCGGCGTGCGCCATGTTCTGGTGCTCCACGAGCTGGGAGGCCGAGTCGCACACGAAGCCGCACTTGTCGCACTGCTTGGGGCTGGGCGAGGGGGTGGGTTGAGGGGGGTAAGCCGGACTCGACGAGGACACTTGGGGCTGCGACTGACGCTCGTACTGGTAAGGGTGGTACCTGTGTGAGGAAAGAAAAACATAACTCAAACAAAAAAAAAAACGAATTCAAAATAAGTATATAAAAAATTAAAATTAAAAAAAAAACAAACGAAAACAAGGAAAACTCAAAACGTTAGTACATTACGCTTATTCGAAAAAAAAGCTGCGTTATAATTGTGCCGACAAAATATTGTCTAAGATTCTGAAAACTTGTCTATAGAATATTAGGAAAAATATTTAAGAAGACCAAACAAAAAATTAATCAACACAATTCGTTGGGAGCGATAAAAATTCTGTTTTTAAAGTAATAAAATTTTGTGTTTTTGAAAAAATAATGTTTTTAAAACGACAAATTAACGGCTTATAGTTCCAGTTCTGGCACAATGAACATCGAATAATTTGACAAAAATTATATTCATAAGAGGTCAAAATGAACGCAGCAGAAGTCACTCTTGTTCACTGCTTCAGCACCACAACATCAGGTTTGTCGCCCTTTGAATTGACCGACAAATTTAAAATCAAGTTATTGACTCATTATTATAATTTTGTATGCAAATCGTTAGAACAGGAACGTGAATTTCAAGGTCCACATACATGTATTAAGTAGACAAAAATTAGTCGGTACATCGACATGTTTTAACTTCACAGACGCCTTCATCATGTTTGTTTTATCATAAAGACCTTTTTTTCAGTGTTTAAATTAATAGTCTGATACAAAAAAGTAGTGGCGTCTACTCAAACCCTGTTAATTAAAAAAATAAATAAACCTGTGGGTAATGGTAGTGTGTTTGAGTAACAATGCATCAAATTTAACGTAAATTTAATTTTAGATATTATAGAGTGCTGATTATTTTAATGACTGGTGATGTGACCTTGAGAACAATGAAAAATACCCGAATTGAACTAAGACATACTAACACTATTGTTTAGATTTATGTGGACCCGATATTGTTCTTAATTTTTAGGAAATCAAAATGCAACCAGTGGCGTCTTTTGAGGAAAATTTAAACCTCAAGAGTTTCCAGAAATATACCTTTATATTGATTCTTTTATTATTATAAATAGAGTACACGAAGCTTTTCCGACAGGCGGCACACTTGGTGCGTTTTATAGGAAGCGGCACATTCCACCAATCAGTGACTCAATGTGCGAGGTTTTTGAAAATTATTTCCTCCAAATGGCGTGTTCAAAGATTAAAGAATAATTTATCATGGAATCAAAAGACACTATGGCTTATAATAGAATATGGTTAAGCAATCTCCCGTCATTCTATAAGATTGTTAAATATGTTTGTCAGAGTCAAAGTACATTTATGAAGCTTTCTTAGACATGCTAAATTTCAAAAACAAAGAAAGTTCGGTGAAAATAAATTGATATCTAGTTTCAAAAGCAATACATAATATTCACAATAAGACAAAATCGGCTAATTGATTTTAAATAACAATAGTCTTTCAGGATAATTCTCGAACTAATTTTAATTCCAACATTATTATTGTAGACAGTGATTTATAGTATGTTCAATATTTCTGAAAACCGGCACAATTATACACAGTTCAGTGGAGGAATAAACGCCTTGTTCAGGTAGAAAGCTCCTGGAACTTCCAAGAAAATGAAAGAACTCATAAGTATCTTAAAACTTTCTCTAATTATCGACAACACCTGTGAGTTTAAAGTAATCTTTATCCGTTTATAATACAACCGTAAATTTTCAAACGACCCTAAAGCCAGAAAAACTGGCAAGGAATCAAGAATTTCCCGCGCTTTTCCGACCATTATTTATATTGCAAAAATACGATGAAAATGTTCGTGTATATATTCTTGATTTATACAGGCTGTCCCACTTATGTTTTACAAAGTGGAGAAATTTTAGAGCATTTTGACGCAAAACTGCCATATTTGAAAATTCGCCATTTTTAAAAATGGAGACCTGTATCTGCACTCAAAAACATAGTAACCTTGATTTTGTGTTTGCGTAATGCATAATTGAAAACAAATTATATACAGAGTGAGTCGCTAAACGCGCGATATCTCATTAATTATTAATAGAGAAAGAAAAAAAAGTGAATAAAAATTATGTTTCATTGAGGACCATAGCCTAAGATTATTTTTAACTATACAGAGTGTTCTGTTTTTAAGGCATAACACACAAGTTATTTTTTTTAATGAAACGACCTACATATTTTTACATATTTGAATGGTCTTTATAATCACAGTTTACTTTTGAAATTCCTATGCGACGTTGCCACGTTATTCTTATCGATATTAATTGGAATAATCTGGCAATGGAGAGGTCAATTAAAATGTGTAAAGATGTACACAATGTTTCATTTAAAACATTAAGTTGTGTGGAACGTCTTAAAACAAAACACTGTGTATAGTTAAAAATAATACTCAAGAGTGTAGTCTCAAAGAACTGTACAGGTTTGAGCTTTAATTTTTTTCTATTTCTAATAATTGATGAGAATCGAGGGACACGCGGTTAGTGACTCACTCAGTATATAAAAAACGTATTAACAAAAAAAACTGTCGAAGGAAACCAGAGTTACAAAGGAAGCTTGTAAGCAATTATATACAGGGTGTCCTACTTAAAAATAGAATAGACAAGAAAATGTTGATTTACGGATTTACTTTGCCGATTTCCGTCTCCAAAATGTCGGAATAGGTGATTTTTATAAAGTTTTCGCGGTTTTGCGTTTTCGTATTTAGTAAAATTTACCTGTACTGCTTGTGCATCGCGAAGTCCTGGTACTGTCCCTGGTTCTCCATGAAGAACTGCTCCCCGAAGTTGTAGTTGTTGTATTGGGGCGACGTCGTCCTCTCCTGCTTGATCTGGTAGTTCTGGAAGCTGGGCGAGAAGGCCGAGTCATGGTTCTGGTAGGGACTCGCCGCGCTCTGGTAGCTCTGCGGCGTCGGCGGATGTCCGAAGATCGTCTCCGGCGTCGTCCGGCTGTACTCCGGGCTCTTCTTCATCGAGTCCGAGCTGTCGGCGGCCGCCACCGTGTTGGCTACGAACTCTCTCTTCACCCCCTTCGGGTTGTTGTTGTTGGTCTCCTCGTGCGCCGCGGCCGCCTGCGCCCACTTGTTCAGCAGGTTCTCCTTGTGGTACTGCACGTGGACCTCTAGCGACTCGGCCGAGTTCAGGTGGAGGCCGCACTCCTTGCAGTGATGGGGGCTGGAGTGGAACTGCACGCCGCTGCTGCTCGCCATCGCACAAACAAAGTCAAAAGTACAGTAGTCACTCGCTCGTCACAGCATCGCCCGCGGTCGGTCCGTCGCTCGAAAACCGAAAATAAAAGAACAAAAAAGAAAACGGCGTCGCGGCGTGCCTAGCCCATGCTACGTGGTGGCGGCGTCGAGCGCGAAACGTGGCGGGAGCATGATGGCTTTGGTCAAGTTCGTCACTGGTAGTCGCCGCACCGCTAGCTCTTGCCGGACAAACACCGACTGCTCTCTGGTTCCTCTCTCGACGAATTCGGAGGTCCAACGTGCGATGCGTGTTTCGCAAACTCGCACAGGCCGCACCGACACGCTTTCGACCAATGGCTTCGCCGGGTTTAATGCGTTTGGGGTGGTAGGGGGTAAGATGCTGCATTTTTGAACGGTGCCGGCAGGATTATGACGCGCATACGACGGATACGTACGGACTTACGGAGTACGGACCGGACAACTTTACAAGACATTCTGACGGGCTCATGCACTCGCAAAAACTGATTTCAACTTTTATCACGCTGAAAAAAACGACCGCTCGGGATGTTTTTAGACAACGGTAACGTTGGCAAACAATTACGTATATGCAAAGATGTCCAATGAAAAATGAAATGTATCACGTCGGGTTAGATTGTTTTTAAGTAAGGTTAGAAAATCTGACAAAACCGCAACAATGTTGCCAGTAATTTCACACTGTATTTTCCATTCCGACAAGTACGATTCAAAGCAAAATCTCGTAATCACTACGTTTTTTTATTATTATTATAAATAGAGTATACGAAGCTTTTCGGAAAGGCGGCACGGTTAGTGCGTTTTATAGGAAGCGGCACATTCCACCAGTCAGTAACACAGTGTGCGAGGGTTTTAAAAATTATTGCTCAAATTACCTTTTTTAATACCACCTTCAAGGATAAAAAATAATTTGCAATCGAATCAAAAGAGACTGCGGCTTATAATAGAATATTGTTAATTTAATCCCTTCTTTAATTAGAAAATTAATAAAATTCCAACATCCAATCTCCTAACCAATTGATGACGTCATTCTAAAAGATTGTTTGTTAAATATGTTTGTCGAAGTCAAAGTAAATTTATTATGCTTTCTTAGACATGCTAAACTTCAAAAACAAAGGAAGTTGGGCGAAAATAAATTGATATCTAGTTTCAAAAGCAGTAAATAATATTTGCAATAAGACAAAATTGATTTTAAATAACAATAGTCTTTTAGGATAATTCTCAAACTAATTTTAAATTGAACATTATAATAATTGTAGACAGTGTTTTATAGTATGTATATTCAATATTTCTGAAAAACGCCACAATTATCCACAGCGCGAAGGAAGGAATAACGGCTTGTTCAGGTAAAATGTTCCAGAACCTTCCAACAAAATACAAGAGTTCGAGGAATTTCAATAAATATTTTAAAATTTTCTCTAATTACCGACAACACCTGCGAGTTTAAAGCAATCTTTATCCGTTTACAATGCCACCATAAATCTGCAAACGAGACTAAAGCCGGAAAAACCCATCATTTTTAAAATATGGAGAAATTTTAGAGTTTCAAAGCAATCAACAGTTTAATTAATTCTCACACACACATTTCTTTGAGTCGATCTGTAAAAGTAATTTTAAAAAATTGGTCGTAGATTAGAACTTTCTTCGCCCATAAAGTACAGCACTTCAAATCCAACTGTTTCGAAAAATGGTTAGATTTGATTTTGCGATTTTTTTATAACCCTTATCAGGTAAAATAAAGCTATGTATGCAGTGTTAAAGTAAATGTAAAGAACCGTGCTCCACGCTTATTTGATTGGTTAAAATTTGTCCGAATTATATATTTTGCTTCTTTTTTCTTAAAAAACAATCTTTTTTTCACAACAAGAAACTTAAAATACGTTTAAAACAGGAAATATGTACGAATGGAAAATTCTTCACAATTAAGATTCAGACGGATAGGTGGGGCTTTTTTGCCTTTTTTGCTTAATACATATAGTTTTCTTAGAGCAATACGATGACTAAAGAACATGTTTTATATGGTAATTCTTCGAAAACTACGGATTTTGCAATTAAGTTCCGTCCTCTTTGGCTCACGATGAATAAAGAAAAATCGTTACAAATGAGATAGGGCGGGTGGGCGGGGTTAATATTTTGCATTTTTTTTTCTTAATATACATAGTCTTACCTTCACAACAAAAAACTGAAAACATGTTTAAAATGGTAAATTTTATCCCCCACACTTCTGTACACATTTTATCCGTTTAAACATGTTTTCAATTTATTGTCGTGAAAAGAAAACTATGTACATATATTAAAAAACAATAATAATACAAACCCCGCCCACCCACCCCAGTCTCAAATGTGACGAATTTTTCATCCGTTGTCAGACCGAGGGGCGGAGTTTAATTGCAAAATCCTTATTTCTCTATAAAAACTTATCGTCTAAAACATTTGTGATAAATTTTTCACCAGAACATGTTTTAAGTATTATCATATTGTTCAAAATAAATTATTTTGAGAAAAAGGAGACTGTGTAACCTTCGCTTCCCTACTAAATCAACAATAACAAAAAACATTTCACATGATAATTTTTTTTAGAGAAACAAAGATTTTGCAATTAAGTTCCGGCCCCCTTTGGCTCACGATGAACAAAGGAAAATCGTTACAAATGAGATAGGGTGGGTGGGCGGGGTTTATATTTTGCATTTTTTTTCTTGATATACATAGTCTTACCTTCACAACAAAAAACTGAAAATATGTTTAAAATGGTAAATTTTATCGTCCACACTTCTCTACACATTTTAGCCATTTAAACATGTTTTCAATTTATTGTCGTGAAAAGAAAACAATGTACACATATTAAAAAACAATAATAATACAAACCCCGCCCACCCACCCCAGTCTCAAATGTGGCGAATTTTTCATCCGTTGTCAGACCGAGGGTTGGAGTTTACTTGCAAAATCCTTTTTTATCTATAAGAACTTATCGTCTAGAACATGCTTTTAAGTATGGTGTTGAAAGAAACCTGTATATATGTAATAAAAAAGTCAATAGAAAACTCCGCCCACCCACCCTTATCTCAGTTGTGATGAATTTTTCACTAGAACATGTTTTAAGTATTATCATATTGTTCAAAATAGATCATTTTGAGAAAAAGGAGACTGTGTAACCTTTTCTCCCCTACTAAATCAACAATAACAAAAAACATTTCACATGATAATTTTTTTTAGAGAAACAAAGATTTTGCAATTAAGTTCCGCCCTCTTTGGCTCACGATGAACAAAGAAAAATCGTTACAAATGAGATAGGGCGGGTGGGCGGGGTTAATATTTTGCATTTTTTTTTCTTAATATACATAGTCTTACCTTCACAACAAAAAACTGAAAACATGTTTAAAATGGTAAATTTTATCCCCCACACTTCTGTACACATTTTATCCGTTTAAACATGTTTTCAATTTATTGTCGTGAAAAGAAAACAATGTACACATATTAAAAAACAATACTAATACAAACCCCGCCTACCCACCCCAGTCTCAAATGTGACGAATTTTTCATCCGTTGTCAGATCGAGGGGCGGAGTTTAATTGCAAAATCCTTATTTCTCTATAAAAACTTATCGTCTAAAACATTTGTGATAAATTTTTCACCAGAACATGTTTTAAGTATTATCATATTGTTCAAAATAAATTATTTTGAGAAAAAGGAGACTGTGTAACCTTCGCTTCCCTACTAAATCAACAATAACAAAAGACATTTCACATGATAATTTTTTTTATAGAAACAAAGATTTTGCAATTAAGTTCCGCCCCCCTTTGGCTCACGATGAACAAAGGAAAATCATTACAAATGAGATAGGGTGGGTGGGTGGGGTTTATATTTTACTTTTTTTTCTTAATATACATTGTCTCACTTTTAGAACAAAAAACTGAAAACATGTTTAAAATGGTAAATTTTATCCCCCACACTTCTTTAGAAATTTACCCTTTTAAACATGTTTTCAATTTATTGTTGTGAAAAGAAAACTATGTACCTACACATAATAAAAAAAAGAAAGCATAATACAAACCCCGCCCACCCGCCCCTTTCTCAATTGTGATAACTGTTTTTATTCGTTGTGAGCCGAGAGGCGGAGCTTAATTGCAAAATCATTATTTCTCCACAAGAAACTACCATGTCAAACATGTTTTAAAGTATCATGTTGTTAAAAGAATATTATTCATGTTAAGTAAAAAGCAATCAAAAATTAAGCCCCGCCCACCCACCCCAATCTCAAATGCAATGAATTTTTCATGCGTTGTCAGGCCGAAGGGCGGAGTTTAATTGCAAAATCCTTATTTCTCTATAAGAACTTATCGTCTAAAACATGCTTTTAATTATGGTGTTGAAAGAAACCTGTATATATTTAGTAAAAAAATAGAAAGCCCCGCCCACCCACCCTTATCTCAGTTGTGATAAATTTTTCACCAGAACATGTTTTAAGTATTATCATATTGTTCAAAATAAATTATTTTGAGAAAAAGGAGACTGTGTAACCTTCGCTCCCCTACTAAATCACAAAAGACATTTCACATGATAATTTTTTTTTTAGAGAAACAAAGATTTTGCAGTTAAGTTCCGCCCCTTTTGGCTCACGATGAACAAAAGAAAATCTTTACAAATGAGATAGGGTGGGTGGGTGGGATTTATATTTTACTTTTTTTCTTAATATACATTGTCTTACGTTCACAACAAAAACTGAAAACATGTTTAAAATGGTAAATTTTATTCCCCACACTTATTTACAAATTTACCCGTTTAAACATGTTTTCAATTTATTGCTGTGAAAAGAAAACTATGTACACATATTAAAAAAAAGAAAGCATAATTCAAACCCCGCCCCCCGCCCCTTTGTCAATTGTGATAACTGTTTTTATTCGTCGTGATCCGAGAGGCGGAGCTTAATTGCAAAATCATTATTTCTCTACAAGAAACTACCATGTGAAACATGTTTTAAAGTATCATGTTCTTAAAAAAAAACTATAGACGTTAAGTAAAAAGAAATAAAAATTAAGCCCCGCCCACCCACCCCAATCTCAAATGCGTTGAATTTTTCATTCATTGTCAGACCGAGGGGCGGAGCTTTAATTGTAAAATCGATGTTACTCAAAACAAAAATTTACCATTAAGTTTTAAATATCTTGGCGAGAAAACATCATTATAAACATAAAAAAGTAAAAATTTAAGCCCCGCCCACCCACCACCATCTCAGTTATAATGATGTTATTCCTTATTAAAACCGCAAGCTGAGTTTAATTGCAAAATCCGTATTTCTCTACAAGAACTTATCGTCTAAAACATGTTTTAAGTATTATCATATTGTTCAAAATAGCTCATTTTGGGAAAAAGGAGAGTGGGTAACCTTCTCTCCCCTACTATGTC